TAGACAGCTCTCTACTCATAGCCCTCAAATAGCTTTGAGCGTTGGGCAGGAGGCACGGGCTGCCTCCCAGACTAGAGGGAGGAGTCCTCCTCCAGTCCCCTAACTGCAGACAAATAAATGCGGCTGCATGCGTGGATGGATCCATCTATCTGATCCCTCCTCCTGCTCATGAAGCATCTGTCAGCAGGCAGCAACCAACTCTGTGAAAAGCTGTTCAGATCCTTGCCCGGCTTCCCAGCTTGCTGCTGCAGTGCAGCTTTGCACTGTGCGCAGTCTGAGCCTCTCCACAATAGTCAGGGGAGAGCATCCTCGTGCTCCCAACACGCTGCAGCTCAAGGGTAAAGTTTCAAGCAGCTGCTGACAAAGAGAAACACCTACCCCAAAAAGAGGAAAACAAAATCCATCTCAAGGATGACAGAAACACGCACGTTAGAAGTTTCAGTGTTGCTCCAGCACCCTCTGGAATTTGCTAACCAAGCAAAGTCAGGCACAATGACTGCTGTGGGCAGGACACTCCCAACTCTGCTGACAGCATTTGATGTAAGGTTCTGGCCTGATGGCAAATGAACAAACCCCAGCAGTTCCAGGGCCTTTGTTTGTAACAGCCATCCAGCTCCTCAGGCATCTGCTGACAGAAGCCAGCAGCAGTTCTGCATGGACATGGCTGGGAGGCAGCAGGATGAGGCTCCTCAGGAAACAGAGCACAAAGGCAGGAAAATGAGCAGAGGTCTGGAGCAGGCTGCAAATCATCTGGTTCTGCTGTATGGCATATTTACAGGTGTTTGGATGGCTGCAGTGACAGCAAGGAAGAAGCTTGCGGCCTGTTTGCACACCAGGACCTCAGAGCAGCTTGGACATTTACATTCTTGTTTGCTATTTCTTGGCTCTGAGAAACATAGATGTGACTTTGTAATGGCTGAGCATCTCTTGTGCTCAAGGTTAGGAAGAAGGGATCAAAGCACAATCCTGCTTCTTGCTGTTCTTGCTGTGTTCTTCTTGGAAGCTTTCATAGCATGTCCTCCCAGTAATTTATTTTTGCTGTTGTCAGGACACCCATGGTGGATGAAAAACACTGTCCAGGAGAAAGTTCTTACAGACCTCCAGAGATGCATGAGATAATGGGAAGCCTCCAAGAAACTCAGTGCTGGATGAAGTCAGTGGGGTTTGGGAAACAAGCTCCTTTTCTGCTAGGCTGCTCTAGTTTTGTGCAGCTGTAAAGCAGATAAAGACATTTTTGCATAAGGACACATCTGCTTGGTGTGGGCTTTGCTGCCTTTGTCTCTTCAATGCTTCTGAGTCAATCTTTCTTTTATCAGATTGGTTCAATAATGTTTTCCCTGCAAATCTTAGTTATCTTTGTGTTCAGCTGCAGTAGCCTAACCACTGTGTGTAATGCAAGCTGCAAATGTAGTGGGGGAGCTCTGGGCATTCACTGTTCTGTTTGCAGGAGCTGGCTGTAAAGCTCTGCACTTGCAGAGCTGTGGTCCAAGCACGGCATGGCGCTGGCTGCCATGGGATAGGATACTTATGTGGTCTGCTGAAGGAATGCATTAGCTGGAATTAGCAATTTTTCCTTGTGGAATTGGTGTTCCCTCCTCCACTCTGTTTTTTTTTTAGCAAGCTCTTCAAATGCAGGTGCTTCTGGATGGCACTGATTTGCAGTTTACAGCTGGAGACAGGCACTGAGCATATAGGAAGATGTTCCCTTCACATTCCTGCCAAATGGTGAGTGTTTCAGTAGTCCTGCACATCACCCTAAACTTTCCAACAGCCTCCCTCTGCCTCCCCTCGCCCCTGGCAGCAGGTGAGAAGGGTGGGAATGCCTCTTCGTTCTACCTCCCTTTCTTTTCACACAGGGCTCTAAAAATCCATCTCTGTTGCTCTCAGAGATGCAGGAACCACATGCAGGGGATAATGCAACCGGTAGGAACCCTGCAGTGATGGCACCAGGATAAGGGGCCAAAATCATTCCTCTCAGAGTGAGCATGCTGGAGACCCCATGGAAATAATCTCCAAGCCCAGCCATAGGCAAACAGCTTAGAGCAGAGGTTTTCTGTTTCTGCCACGGTTCTGACCAGTGCATATCATCTCCCCATGTTTCTCCACACCCCCTGGTCTGGAAAGAAGCTGGAAGCTGCAAGCAGACCCAGTAGGATATTGGAACCCAAGGTGACATCTTCTGAGCTGTATGTTTTGCCATCCTGGAACTGCTGACACTGCATTTATCCAAGTGTGTAGGGACAACCAGAGGCTCCTCCTGCCTCTGTTCTGCCTTCCCTTCACTGGTGCCTGCTGTGCATTGGGATGCACAAAGCAGCAGCCACAGATGAGTTCCCTCAGCCTCAGTGTTCTTGTTGGCAGTGCTGTGCCTGCTGGATTGCATTCACACTTTCATTCCAGGGACACGGAGATGTGACAGTGGCACAGCAGGTGGAATAGATCTGTTCCCACCCCCAGACAAAACTGCCACTAGCAGCTACCCCCCCTCCTCCAATGAGTGCACAAAGTAACACCCTTCTGTGTCCTTTGCTGTAGGTCCTGCAGACAGCCAGCAGCACGGGGATCCTTCCACACTTCCACACTTGCAGCTGTATCAATATCAACATTTACAGCATTAAAATTACAGGCATAGTGCATCCACGTGCTGTGCTCCCACCAGAGTGCCATTATTTGGCCAGCGTGCTGGGAACCAGGCTGCTCACTTCCACAGGAGTGTGAAGGGAGCCCCAAGTCACCCCCTCGATACAGGGAAATTTGCAGCAATCATCGAGGCATTACATCTCCTCCAACTATAGCACACATGCTCCAACTGTAATCTTTCCAGCAAAAGCCTTGTTGGTTGAATGCCTCCTTGCTTTAATCCCTGAGGTTGCTGAAGGATGCTGCTTTCATCTGATAGCATTTATGAACTGCTATAATGAGTTCTGGCTTCCTGAGATAAATTAAATCACTCACTCAGAGGTGCAAACTTCATTAATGCCAACAGTGACTCAGATTAGCATTATTCTAGTTCAGAATATAAACAGACTGGACACATGAAAGAGGTTTGGTTGGCATTTCCCCCCCCCCCCCCCCCCCCCCCTCCCCCCTTTCTCTTAACCTTTCTAATTGCTGTTGATTTGTGTCTTTTGCTCTGTGTATTCAAACCCTGTGCTTCTCCACCTCTTCAACTTCCAGGAGAAACTGTTGTATGACACACCACCATTCTGGACTGACTGGTTTAGCTGCTGACTGTTAACAGTGATAGATATTTGGCAATTTTGCCTGGCAAGTTTCAAGCTCTTTCACATGCTTGTTAAGTCAAAAAACAAAACAAAACAAGAAAACTACTCAAAAATAGAGCTGATGAAAAATTAAAGTCCCTTCTTCCTGCTCCAGGTTAGAGCCTTGACAGGGAAAATTCCACAGTGGAAATAAGATGTTGCAGGCTGAGACAAATGGCACAGAATAGATGTGTATGAAGTAACAACACATACCATAAAAATACAGAAAGTGTCATGGTGTGAAACAAGGAGAGCATGGATTGGCAAGACAGAACGCAGCCACTGGAAGAGCATTTTCAGGAACAAATGTGTTGGAGCCATCTGCTGCCTCCCCAGCAGTGGTGACAGTCACAGCACATCTCTCCCTGAAAAGTGTCTATTATATATTTTGCAAGTGTTGCTTGCCAAAAGGTGCAATTACAACAAATGGAACAGCAGTGACACTGCCCCATGTGGCTCTGAACAAAAGGTGCCCTCAGCTGCACGCCCTCCGCAGGGGAAGGCAAATGCAGTTGTGGGGAGTTGCAAAGTCTCAAGTATTCAATGCAGAGAAAGCTTTTCTTCGTCCAATGCAGGATCCCAGTAAACTCTTGGAAGCAAGAAGATGAATTCCTACTGAGATATAGTCCTACTGAGGAACAGCAGAGTGCAGAGTAGTGCTCATGAACGCTGGGTGCTGGTGTGGCAGTGTACCTCGCTCCGTGCCTCTGGGCTGTGCTCACCCCCATGCACAGTGCTGATATTTATATGAGAAATGGCTGCAATTTCCTCAAAAACAAACTGCTACCTCAGTCCATTATTAAATCTGCTTTTCCTGCCAAAACATTTTAATTTCCACTTCCTCAGACTTGCTTTGTCTTCATTGTCTCTATTTTTCCTATATTTTATGTCAGATGGTTTGTCTCTGACAAATGAAGGTTTGCTTTTATGGTAAATCTTTCTGCAGGATGGCGTGTATCGGCAGGAAAGGAACCTTTCCTTTTTCATCATTTTGCCAATTAAAAACATTGCCTGCAATTTGCATTGTTCATAACCAGGGAGAAATGAAATGCAGAACTGGTTGCTGCTGTGCAGCCAGTGCTCTTGGGCAGATGACAAGCTTCCTGTCTCTGCCCACATAACAAGGCTGTGTGCATCAGAGAGACATGATTTTTAAGACTTGCGTAGAGCCAGCTAAAATGCTGTGTGCTCCCATTTTTGCTTTAATTCTGCATAGGAAAAAGTCACAGTTCTTTACCGGTGCCAGAGCTAGAAGGCCCAGGTGGGAAGCCGGATACTGTTGCCGCAAGAGGCATGATAAACTGCTGGCCACTCTTGGTCCTCACCCACCTGACCCGAAATTATGCCCTACCTTCACCTCCTTGGCAGTGCGATCTTTGACATCTGCGATGCACCAGCTTGGGCATGGATTGGGCTCCCTTTGCCTGCTAGATTTTATGGGTGGGAAAAAAAAACACATTTTTATTGTTGCTGAATGCTAGAGGGAGAGGTGGGGAGGCAAATGGACAGAATGCACAACAGCAGGAGTCTGGATCAAAAGAAAAAGGTGACGGAGCCTGACGTGTTCTTCCCGGTAACGCCAGAGCCTCTTCCCACGCTGCATCCCGGGGATCAATGGACGGAGGCTGCCTGGCGAGGGGCAGGCAGCCCTTCCCGAGGCCGGGAGGCGGCGGGGGGCGGTGGTGGCCGGGTGGCCCTGCCCAGCTCCAGCTCCGGTTGGTGCCGTCAGGGCCGGGGGCGCGGCCATTGCGAGCGCCCGTCCCGGTAAAGCGGCGGCGCTGCCGGCGCGGCCCCGCACCATGGAGGGACACCTGGCTCGTTGCAAGATCGTGGTGGTGGGGGACACGCAGTGCGGCAAGACGGCACTGCTCCACGTCTTCGCCAAGGACTGCTACCCGGAGGTGTGCGGGGGGCGGCGGGGGGCGGCCGGCGGCGCGATGCGGTGCGATGCGGTGCGGTGCGATGCGATGCGATGCGGTGCGGCGCGGCTCGGCTCGGCTCGGCTCACCTCCCTTCTCCCTACCCAGAGCTACGTGCCCACCGTTTTCGAGAACTACACGGCCAGCTTCGAGATCGACAAGCAGCGCACTGAGCTCAACATGTGGGACACCTCAGGTGGGCTCGGGGAGGGACGCGGTGGGTCTCGATGCGGCCTCTGTGGGATCCGCAGCGGGCGTCAAACGCTGAAATCCCGTTTCGGTGTCTTTGCGCTGGATTTTGCGGCTTTCTCTCCCCCGGCCTTGGGGCTGGCTCTGCACATCGTTTAGGTGCTGACTGCGTATCGGTGCATCTCAGCCCTGACCACGTATGAGATGCAGCAGAGCACCAACAAAACCAGTTCTGGGGCCGGGAAGGAATGGGGAAGCAAGCAAGGTGCAGCCGAGATGGGAGACCTCACCTTGGAGAGGAATGTGCTGTGGGAATATACTGTCCTTTCATCACTCACTCCAGGAGTTTCTGGGTTGCTTCAGTTTTTTTGTGTTTTGGTTTGGTTTTGCCTTTTCATCTGCATCCTCAGTTGTGATGCTGCAGGGAGCCCTGGGCACATCTCAGCTCTCCAAAACCCTTTTCAAACTTCATGCTGCCTCTCTGGGGAGACATGAGCTGTAAGTGAACTGCTTGATGCAGAGCTAATAAAAATATTGGCGTCTAGCAAAGGTTATGTGCATCCTTTAATATACCTCTGACAACCTTTTTGGACTGCTGCGTATACATAGCAGAACTGAATGCTGGGCTCTGGTGGTGTACATACATAATGGACTTGCTGATGGTCTTTCCCCATAATTTTTTGAGTCTTCTTAGTGCTCAAGAGCAAAAGTAAATTAAAACATGATATTAGACAGTTTTAGGTCTTGTGCACTCAAATTCCTCACTATAATTTTACATCCATCAGATTACAGCTGTAGGATCAGCAGAGCTCTATTTAGAGCAGTGACTTTACTGATTTTTAGACGAGCTTTAAATTGTAAAATGTTTACTGAGCTTCTACTGGAGGCTTCCCAACCTGGCAGACTTTGCTTTTGGAAATTTTTATGTCCTGAAACAAACAGGGGTCTTTTGCCTGCTGAGTTGTGAGCCCTGGGGGTTTCCAAACTGAGGACTTCTGCAGCTGATCGGAAAGGACTGGTTGTGTTGTTTTTGTTTCATGCTCAGCAGCTTTGCTCTGAGTGTCTGCATTTGATGAGAAAAACTTCACCTTTGGAGTGTGTAGAAGCACGCTTAGTGCACCGTGTGGGCTTTTTTTAGGAACTCTCTGGAATATTTGGCTTTGATCCTACAAATGTTAAAAGAAAATAACATGATAAAATGGCTTTAAATCTGTGTATATGCACCTAGTACTTGCATCTGATGTTGTCATGCATTCATTTTTGTCATTTTCAACAAAAGATATGAGTCTGTCTAGTGCTTATCTCTACAGCCAAGAGGAAATGGACTTTGATTTTTTTTCTCCCTTTTTAAGAGCATTGTTGTAGATAGAGTTCAGTAGATAATTTTCCAGATAAATTTCCTCCTTTTGCAGCTTTCATTTGAAATATCCAAAAGCTATATGTCAGTAAACAGTCCTGCAAAGCAATACATAGCAATTTTTTTCTAGTAATCAAACTGACATTTTGAGCTACAGACTGCAAGCTGCTGCTGAATTTCCACTTCGGAGACACTTGTAAACAGCTTTTGGTAGAAAAAGTTTTGCACAATAGCAAATGGAAGCAACTGAGCTGAAGGAGTTGAGAGTGGCTGATTACCCTTCTAATGCATATGACAGGTGCTGGGTGCACTTCCCCTTGTCTCTGCATTACCTGCCATCTCTTTTAAGCAGCTTTGTGGGCAGGGGCTTGTTGTTAGTGTTAAACTCATCCTAGCAGGAACGGGAAGGGAGATGCTGGAAATCTGCTTCCCTCTTTTATATCTTAGATGCTTTCCATCTTTTAGTTAAGTAATTGAAGCTGAAGGTCTCCTCCAAAAATCAGCAGACAAATCTGGACAGGGACTGAAGTCAGCTGTGAGAGTGGTGAGTGGCTCAGCAGATGCTCATAGTATCATCCTGCTATGGGCACCAGTGAAGGGCAGCTGCCCTGGAAAACCTGCTGCAGGGATCCCAGCCTGCCTGGCTGCTGCTAGCTCTTCTCAGTAATCCCTGCCCATGTTGGGGTGTTATCTGCTCCCTGGACATGTAGCAGTAGCTGCAGTGGGGAACTTGGGAAATACAACATTTAAGTGTGAATTGGCCCCTCCTCTGATACTAGCAGATAGCGGGCTGGCAGTAAACATAGTTAGAGAAAAACTGCCCTACTGTGGGCAGGGATGATGGGGAGCTGAATTGCTCCCACGCTGTACTGGGACCTTGGATTTCCTTTAAGTATCTTGTAACCCTTGCTTAGTTTTTTCCAAGGCCGAAAGACAACTGGAAGCTTAGCGGTACTGAGAGTCCTTCAGACAGAGCAAATACAGGCCCTCTGTGCCCACTGCAATGCCTTTGATCCAGATGCCTGTTAAGGAAAAAAGGGAGCCATGTATGAGCCTGATCCCTCACTACTGCCTGCATTTGTGGCTTATGGGAATGCCCAGGAATGGCACTGCACCGTCTATGTGCTCACTGCCATCTTCCAAAGCTGCTGCAGAGGACTTTTCTGTCCACACAGAACCCAAGCTGGTCTAGCAGCTCTGCTGTCTGCTCTGCACTGCAGCTCACGGCGGGAGAGTTGTGTGGCTGCCAGCCTTTTGCAGGGACTTGTGTCTGATAAGCAGATTCGCTTTCAAAACAAGAATAACATTGTAAAGTGCAAATCCCTCCCTGCCTCCCTCTTTGCCTGTGCTCAGCAAACAGTCTGCCTTGGTATGGCTGTGTGGGAACCAGCAGGCTCTGATAACAGTCCCTTCATTACGGGAACTACCCAGGAATGTTGATGAGATTAGAGAGCTGAAAGGGGCCGAGTTTAGCAATGGCATCTCCATTGATGCTGGGGCTGGGGATTCCCAGCACGCAGCTCTGGGATTGCAATGGCTGCCTCTTCCCATGTGCTTTGAAGCAGAGAAGAATGTGGAGCTACCCTTTCCATACTAAAATAGCTCCTCCCATGCTCCCTGTTGAGGCTGGGAACCTCGAACTAGCATGCTTGTCTTCTGCCTCAGCACAAAGACGTAGTTAAGCTTGAAAATATGTGTAGCTGGGTCACGTTCTTAGGCAGGTCAGGAACCAGTCAGACAGAAGTTGAAAGGGCTGCAGTAGAAATGCGTATCCTGGACTGGGTGGAGATTGGATCTGGGGAGACCTGACACAATGTGAGAGAAGTGAATGGGACACCAGAGTCCCTGGGGTATGTCAGACTGGGCATGGTGTAGGTGCTGCATGGTACAGAAGCCGCTTCTCTCCCTGTATGCCTTGGGGGTGTCCCTTGTGCCCCAGACACCCATCAAGCAGCAGCTCCTTAGCCAAGCAATCATGTAGAGCAACTGCTGAAAATCCCTGTAGGAGGGAACTCTCACTCCATCCTCTGAGCATGATGACTTTGCCTTTCTGCCCACCTGGCACCTAGGTGCCCCTCACTGTGCCTCAGGGTGGTACTGCGGTAGGGAGAGGTCCAGAGAAGCTGGTTGGTGCCATGCCACCAGCCCTGCAGAAGAGACCTGGGTACAGCTTTCCTCTTGCCCTAGATCCTATGGATTAGATCAGTATGCAATTAAACTTCACAGGCGTGCAGGTCTAGCTTTCCCTGTGGGGAGAAACCTTATCTGGTAGGCAAGCAGCCAGGGAGAAAGCTGCTGCTTGTGCACAGCAAACTGGAAATGTGTAGCATTGCATACAGATAACTTGTGCTCACTCAACCCGCAGATATGGTCCCCAAAGCCAGAGGTCTGTGGGAATTGGCTGCCACTCCTAGTCCTTGTTACACCCAATAAAATGATGACAAACAGGTTGAGGCAATGCCAACCACCCTTGTGATGTAGCAAAAGTGCCTGGAAGGGACTTCTGGTTCCTTTTTGCCTCCCTTGTCAGCTGCCATGGGTGTGATTGTTAGCACCCTTGTGTAGAGCCCCACCAGGTACTAAGGCTGTGATCCCGCCTCACAGGCTCAGTGATGCTACCCTAGGGTTGCTATTAGGGGCTTCTACAGAGAGCTGCCTCCCTGTCACCAGCGTGAGGAGCCCAGGATGCCACCTCAGCCCCTGCAAACACCATTCCCTTCATCGTGTCCATTCTGAGACATGGCAGCGAGGCTGCTTAGCAGTTTACTGGTGTTTTTTAAAGCACATCACAAGAATTAGGAGCAGAGGTTAATTGTCCAAGCTGATTAGCTGTTGTTTCAGTCATGCACTTTCCAGATGATTGCTTGCTCTGTGTCATGGAATAGTTTGCTCCTTTCCTGAAGTGCTGGGCTTTGCAGTCATGTTGCACAAGTAATAGACAGGTCACAATCCAGTATCAGAAATGCTGTGTCAGAGTGCTGGGGCTCAGAGGACTACACTTATGGCATTCCCTCTGCTGCTTTTTGTCTCCCTCTTCCTGGAGTTTTGTGTCCAGTTCTGGAGCCCCCAGCACAAGACAGACATGGAGGTGTTGGAGTAGGTCCAGAGGAGAGCCACAAAGATGATTGGAGAGCTTGCAGGGACAGGCTGAGAGAGCTGGGACTCTTCAGCCTGGAGAAGAGAAGGCTCCGAGGAGACCTTATACTGGCCTTCCAGTGTCTGGAAGGGGCCTACAGGAAAGCTGTGGAGGAACATTTTATAAGGGCAGGTAACAACAGAACAAGAGAAAATGGTTTTAGGCTGGAACAGGGTAGATTTAGATTAGATATTAGGAAGAAATTCTTCACTGTGAGGGTGGTGAGAAACTGGAAAAGGTTGCCCCGTGAGGTTGTGGATGCCCTCTCCCCAGAAGCATTCAAGGCCAGGCTGGATGGGGCTTGGAGCAACCTGGTCTAGAGGGAGGTATCCCTGCCTATAGCAGGGAGGTTGGTACTAGATGGTGTTAAAGCTCCCTTCCAACCCAAACCATTCTAGGATTCCAGCTTGGATGGGATGCCCCATCTCCCCTTTGGGCCACCTTCCTCTGGCAGGAAGGGCCTTGTTCCAGGGCTCACCTGCTTTCCCCAGTCCTGCTGCTTGTGGAACCCCCATTGTGAGGCTTGGCCATACTCCAGTTTGTCATAATTTCTGTTTGTGCCCTTGAAGGGGTTCTGAAATCTGAAGGGGATGCAGCAGTGAAAACTCTGGCTGTAATGGAAATAGATGCTCCAGGTAGGAAACCACCATTGGCCTTGCCTTGCTGTATTACTGCTGCAACTTGGGAGACCTCGGTTCTGGTGAGGGACAGCGGGGCACTTTATCAGCCTACCATGCCACCCTTAGCTGATTGCAGCTGTTTGTCTCTCTTGGTCTGCTTTGCTCTCCCTTCAGTCTCTAATGTCACTAATTGCTGCTGCATTCAGAACCTTGACCTCCAGGTGGTTGAAGCCTGGCTTCAGACTGTGGTGCTGTCAGTGATGTCATGATATCTTGGATTTTGTCTCCAGTGCTTAAATTCCTGTTTCTTTCACTTGTCATTGCACTGAACTGGACTCTAACAAGCACTGTTAGTGTCAGAAATGTGTTTGTTTGGTTTTTTTTTTATATCAGTGGGATCTGCATTATCCTCGCGGACCCTTGACCATTGAGCCTGCTTCTTAGGGACTGTGGGAGCTCAGGAACCATGCTGTACTTCATCCTTCCCAAACAGAACCAGCCACTGTCTTGCTTTCAGGAGAGAGGGTCCAATTTGTCCAATTTCACACTGGGAGGATGAAGTTAGTCGCTGAATTGTGTTGTTTCCTCAGTGTGCACTGTTTCAGCCTGGGAAGCCAAGTCCACTAATTTCCAGGCCACCTGTTTATAAAGCCCAACAGCGTTAATGATACAGGGAACAAGAAGGGTGTTTGTATATCCTTGTCTGTTGTATATCAGGCACACAGAGCCATTGCTCTTCAAATGCTGCTTTTGCAAAGGCACTCCAGATGTCCCAAGGAAAGAAACTGTACTGATGGGTCCTCGTATGCAAGTGATGGGCCCCGAGAAACACCTTACTGGGGCAGGCCACTTGCTGCAGGTGTCCTGGAGGGTTTGTGGTGTCTGAGGAGGGGGTGATGGGGATTTGGCTGCCCCATACAGGGTCCATGTTCTGTGCTTGGTCACTTCATGAAGCTGCATCATGTTCCATCTTCCACCAGGGAGCTCCTGTGACAAACCCACGTCCTGCCTGCTTCCACAAATTCCCTATGGTCAAGCTGAGTTGAGTATGGGGACCACAGAATAACAATTCATTTCATAGTCTGCCCCCAGGAGGACAAAGGGATGGGGCTTGACCCTTGTGGCTATTTAACTGCTGCTCTCAAATGTTCCCTGAAGCTGAATTCCTTTTTTGCTCTCTACTGCAAACTGTCACTATTCCTCTGAGCTTATTTCCCCTTCACTAGCGGTTTGGGTGACTGTGTGCCCCCTCATTACATCTGCAGAGGAAATGCTAGCTCTGAAGCATCCTCACTGTCTTGGAGAAGCAGCTGAGATTTTTGCGGGCTCAGCATGGGGACTGAGCTCTTTCCTTGCCCAGGGTGTCTGGGACAGCTGCCACTTCTGTCTCTCCCATTCACCATCAGGTTTTCAATTCAGTGTTTTTCTGCTTTACTCGGCGAGGAGACAATAGCTGAGCTGTTCCATGGGACAGGGCCTTTCTCATGCAGATGTGCTGCTTTCACCAGGGTAGGGGAGCCTGTGGTGCCCCCTGTCTATTGCTGTCCCCATCCATGGTGACAGCTTCCTGCACCTTTTTTTCAGTCTTAAAGGCATGATATAAATAAAATATATTATTAATACTTTCATGATCATCTGTCCTAGCAGAGGAGCTACTAATCACGAAAGCCATCACATTCACTATCACTTTATGTAGTATTAACATGCGTGGAGCGCTGCCATGGGGAAAGCATGTGGTGATGGGTCAGGAGTTTGGGCCAGAGCTTGATCCCCTGCTTGAGAGCAGCGTCACTGTCCTAGTGCCAGGCTGCTGTACCAACCTCTGAATTTCAGATAACAACCCTGTAGATTTTATTTTTAATTTGTTTTTGGCATTTGGCTTGCTCCAGTTTTCTCTCTTTAATCACAAACAAATAGGTACATAGGTCCTGTTTCTTGCAGACCTGAGTGCCAAGTTGGAGAACAGTTCATGCAGAACCGGAAGGCTGGATCTGCAGACATGCAAGTCTTGAGTGCGTGTGTGCTTGGAGGTGCCAGTGTGTGGGGCTCTAGGGTGCCTTGCAGGAATGGCTAAAAGGTATTGAGCACTCAGAACCCACATATCCAGAGATCTGGAGCTGAGGGAACTGGGGTGCTTGTGTTTTGTCTTCATCAAAAAATAACAGATTCAAAAATTAGAATGATCAACCAAAGAGAATATCCTGATTTAGCAGAGAGAAAGCTGGGGATGATGTAAGTCTGGAGCACAGCACTGCTGGGCACCTTGACTGTTGGTCTCTTAGACTGGGGAAGGAATTTCAGGAAAGTGGTGTTGATCAGCTGTCGGTGAGCAGAGCTAACAATGGGGTCAGGGCCATTCCTGTCCCTTGGAGCTAGGAGCAGAAAGTTAGAGCATGCAGAGGCAATTTTGATCTCATTAAAAAAATGATGCTCTTGACCTGGGGCAGATAATCCTTCCCCTCGTTTTGCCATCTCACCAGCTGCCCAGCTGTGTCGTGACAGCAGGCTGGGGGTTTGGGATGGATGGTGACCAGCCGTGCTGGCTGCACTCTGCTGCACTGTGTGCTCTGCCAGTGCAGTCTGTGACATGCTGCAGAAAGCAGCAGGTTGCTACGATACAGTTTGCTGTACCAGTGTCTGAGCTGAAAGGAGCCAAAATCAATCTCTACAAAAGGAGCATTCCTGGGCTGGGAGGAGGTAGATTTAACTGCAATGTTTATGTGAAGTGGAGGAGCAACTGGGAGAGGATGTGTATGTAAGTGCTTCCCTCCCACCTGCCTGGGGCAGCTGTGCACGGGAAGGGCACACTTCTGATAAAGGGTCTAACACATCTGAGCATGTAGATCAGTGCTGAGTCTTGAATCCCTTTAGGCAAACCTGCATCTGGAATGAGAATGTAAGCTTGGTCTGAAGGGCAGCTTGGTGCTGCAGAGCTCGGTGCTGCCAGCAAAAGCACCAAGTCACTCGTAAAATGGGACTGCTCATGGGGCCAGCTCTGCCCATCAGAAGATGAAGCATTCTTAGCCTGAAGCAGGGTCAGAAATTTCCAGGGTTTGCTGTGCCCCAGCCTGCATCCTCTGTCCCCACACTGGTCCAAGCATCCCAGGCACTGACTTTCCCTCTACAAAGAGGGCTGGGCTCTGTGGAGGTCATAGTCTTTCTGCCATGCTGGATGCCAGCTGCTTTCATTCCAGTGACTTTGCAGGGACAAAAAACTGTGCTGTATTTTTTCTCATTTGTGTCTGTGGGGACTGCAGCAGCAGAATGTCCCTGCAGTTGGCTTTGCTGTGAACCCAAATGCACATGGGGTGCTGGCATGCCTGCTCTGTGAGTGGTGTGGGGCGTCCCCGGTGCCCCCATCCTGCTTCCAAGGAGGCAGACTCAACAAGGGATGACGACTCTGCTTCCCTTTTTCATAAATGAACAGCTGCTTCTCACCCCTCCAGGAAGTTTAAGCCATTGCAAAGCCAAATACAAAACTGAAACAAATGTTTTTTAAGTAGCAATAAGCTGATTGTTCCACTACTGCTTAGTGGGGCATTTACTATTTCATATAGAATACACTTCAAACAAAAACATTATGGGATGATGGCTTTAACATCTGAAATTCATACTGAGGGGTTGTATGTACAGACGTGGATATGTGTACATGGCAGAGCTGTGCAGGATTCTGCCCTGGCTTTATTCTACTCCCTGAGAAATCCTGCATAATGCAGCATCATTTCCTCCAATTCAGAACTCATTCACCAAATCCTTGCACATCTTTTATGCACAAACAAATGAAAAGAATCTGACTTTTTCCAGCATAAATCCAGAGCAGAAAGTTCTTTTTTTACCTATCTTAAATTCTCACAATTGTTGTGAGTAAGCTCCTCTGTAAAAAGATACTGAGAAGATTAAAACATAGCAGTAGCCCTGCTCATGGCCTGCTTCTCTCAACTACACCTTCCAACTGTTAGGAGTACAGCAACTGTATGACAAGTGATGGATTCATGTGCAAGCACGGCAACCCTTCCAAGCTCCCCATCCTGTAGATTTCCAGCATGCCCAACAGCACAGTTTACCATCTCTTGCTTGCTAGATGCTCACATGTGGCCATGTCTCAATTCTTGCTGGAACTATGGACTTACAGAGACGACTGAGGCTCCTCACCTGCCCCAACAGGTGTCAAGCAGCCCATGGATGAGACTTTCTGCTGACTGCTTTTCTCTCTGCAGGCTCAGCCTATTATGATAATGTCCGTCCATTGGCATACCCGGACTCAGATGCCGTGCTCATCTGCTTTGATATCAGTCGCCCAGAAACCTTGGACAGTGTGCTCAAGAAGGTGAGTGCCCAGGGTGTCTGGGCTGAGATGGAACCCTGCATCCCCTACGGCTGCTACCAGGGCCAAAAGCTCCCTTGGCTAGAGTTTGCCTGCAGCAGTTGCCCATGGTCTTTAGCAGAAAGCAAGATATTTCTTTGTCTGCAAGGAGCATCGTGAGTGATACAGCTCACTGCAGTATGCAGTGCTTCTGTCAGTCTGCCTTTTTGCACACATGCAAACATGGGAACAGGGAGAGATGGAGGGTGTCTGTTGTGTTTCTCATATCAGCACTGGGAGGAAGCCCTGGGGCTCCAGTGTCTTGGCAAGGGGACAAAAACCCTCCAGATAGCTTTGTCAAGGGCTTGGTTGGGCTCTTAAGATAGCTCCCAGCACCCAGCTCAGGGGGCAGATGTCTTTCATGGGGATTGAAAGCATCTGCTGCTTATGATAACAGGGTAATAACACAAGCAAATCTCTTGTACCTTAATGAGATGCAAGCCCATCAGTAATTAGCTGGGGTTGGGCTTTATCAATGTCTGTCCGCATGCTCCTCGTGTGAGTCTGCTTTGCTCACTGCAAGGTCTTTCCTATGGGGCTCACAGATAATTCCAGTGCTGTTAGCAGTGTCTGATAAAGCAACTTTTAATCCCTGTGTCACATGGTATTTCTTAAGCGCCTCTGAACAGATGCCTTTTTTCCTTTGGTGCAGGCTTACAGCCTACGGAGGTAAGTCACATTCCTAAGATACCATGAAGTTGAAATAGGATTTAGCTTCTTCTGATATCAGGCAAGTAAGGAGAATAACATTCTCTATTCAAGCTGTAGGCAAAGATGCTAATTCAGCAGAGGAAATCTTTATTATTGCTGCCCTTCTGCTACCTGGCTTGTCTTCACAGCGTGTACAGTTGAAGGGAAGGAGCCACCCAAAAGGATGCAAGCAGCTTTTAATTTTCCACAAAGTGGGTTTTCACGAGATGGCACCTCTGTTCCGACAAGGCTTGATGGTTCTGCAAACCTTGGGCTCCCCACATGTTGTCAGGCATGGGAGAAGTGGGTCAAAATGCAGAAAACAGGCCCAGTGGCTCCATCTTGGCAGGGATTTTCATCCTTTGGATAAATTTGGGTGTTTGGATTTGTTCATTGGAGGATGCTCCAAATGAACTGCAGCATCCCCCTTGAATGCTGATTCTGGTGGCAGAGGGGGGCATGTGGGAGTCCTGGTAGACAAATTCCGCAGCAGGGAAGGGATCTGTAGGACAGAGACTGGAGTACATCTCCTGCTGGAAAACACCATTTTTTCCCTATATTTTGCAGTTTCTTTGTTCTGGTATTCAGTGAAACTTGCGTCATTGCTGGTGCTTCCTTTCTCCAGTAGGTTCTGGAAACTGGGCTGTGGGTTGGGTTTTCTTCCCCTTCTAATTGCCTGGGGTATATGCCTAACTGTCAGCCAGTAAAGCAGGAACTGCAAGTTCCAAGAGACATCTTCAGCCAGTGGGAATCTCTATTTGTCATCTGCTTGCTGCTCCAGAAGCATTAAATGGGTGCTCAGGGTGCTGGCACACTGCTGGGGCTGTGCAGGTCTCTCCCAGCCCCAGTCAATGGGTTTACTTACCATTGGAGACACCTCACTGCATATTGAAACTTTTTCGAAGCTCAGAAAGGTACTATTAATGAAGAAAGTGGATGCTTGCCCTGGCCACCTTTTTTCCTTCCTTCAGTCTTGCAGGAGGCAGCATCTTGAATGCAGCACGTTTGCAGGGTATATCTGGACCAAGTGAGCAAAAAGTTAATCTGAGAGGCACTCCAACCATTTTTATCATTGCCTGTGGCAGTTGTTAAGGAAGAGCACATTGGCTTCCAAACAGCTGTGACTCCAGTTTGGAGAATCTTCCCACGGAAGGCTTCCAAGGTGAAGGCAATGTATTGTTATGGTTCCAGGGAGCAGCTCTGGTGAATCCCAGCTGATGGGGCTTCAGGGATTGTGCAAAGTGGTCACCATTGTACTGAGACCCCACGATTGGCTTTGTTGCTCCAACCTTGACCCTTCTGTAGGCTGTCCATTGTCACACAGCCTCTGGCACAGCTGTGCACCTTCTCTCTCTTGTCTTTGCTACAGTGGCAAGGGGAGACACAGGAGTTCTGCCCCAATGCGAAAATCGTGTTGGTGGGCTGCAAGCTGGACATGCGGACAGACCTGAACACGCTGCGGGAGCTTTCCAAGCAGCGCCTCATCCCAGTGACACATGAGCAGGTGGGTTTTGGCAGCTGTTTTCCTCCTGCACCTCCTCAGATAAGTTAGCTCAGCAGCAGAGGACCCCCACTTGGTCCTTTGGTCTGAAGCTGACCGGATCTTGGCTCAGGTACTCTGAGCTTGCAGCACTCTTCTTCCCTGCCCTGGTCACATTGGCAGTGCTCTGCTGAACCACCTCGTTGTTTGCAGTCAGGAAGCCTTTCCCCAAAGCTAGTGGAAATGCCCAGCTTAATAACTTGGATTAGCTAAAGTAGGACGAGTGTGTTTCTACACCTCCTTGTTGGGTATAGCTGGGGTAGGGACAAAGAGGCTGGGAACTGCTAGGAACTGCTGCAGTCACCAGCATAGGGTCACAGGCTCTGATGCTGCTGCAGGGTGCTCTGTCCTAACCTCACTCCTCCTTCCTTCCCCAATCTCTGGGTCTCAGGGCAGTGCTCTGGCACGGCAGATTGGGGCAGTGGCCTACGCCGAGTGCTCCTCCAAGGTGTCGGAGGACAGCGTGCGGGATGTCTTCCATGTCACCACACTTGCCTCGGTCAACAGGATACACAAGAACCTGAAGCGCTCCAACTCCAAACGGGGACTGAAGCGGGCATCACAGATGCCCAGCAGGACGAACTTACTGAATGACACAGAGATCAGGAAAGACCGAGCCAAGAGCTGTTCCATCATGTGAAAAACAGTCTGTAAATAACGTATGTGTGTTGTCCATTTTGTACAGTAACTGGCCAAGACCAGGGCATGGTGCTGGCTGTAGGAGCCAGCTTGCCTTTCTGAAGCCTTTCTTAGTCCGTAGGGCTGAGCAAAGGTCCCAGCTGCAAACTGGGGTGCAGGAGGCACCCTGCACTGTCAAGACCTCTGGGTCAGCTGCTGCTGTGCTGATTGCTTGGGAGAAAGGAACCACTTGACAGAGAAGCATTCAGGCACTGCAAGGTCTATGGTTGGATGAAACAAAGCAAGAGAGAGTGATGCTGCATGCATGCCATCCTCCTGTCCCCATGGCCCAGCCTCTGGGTGACATAAGGTGGTGGGACCTGGACTGGAGGCTGGGAGAGGGGGAATTGCAAGCAGCAGAATGACTGGGAGAAAGTCCTCTTCCAATCTGCCTTTAGAAGAGAAGCGTTATTTGAGCTGTTGCTATCTGTGGTTGGACTGGATGGCAAGCCACCAAGAAAGCACCCTGGGGAGGATGCGTAACCTGGTGAGCACCACGTTGATCACCTCCTGGGAGACTATAAATGGGCAGCTTTTCTCACGGTACTTCAGATACTTGAATTCTGTTCCAAAACCAACAGAGCAGATCTGGCTGCAAGGTCTGTCCCCGTAGATGCATCCTGAAAATTGTGGTTCCCTTCAGCAAGCAAATGTCACTCAGGAGCTTGTGCCTCGCTTCTGCCAGCCTGGTTCCTCATCAGGCTGCTCACTGCCACAGGCAGCTGCACCTCCAGGCACACAGTGTCCTGAAAAGCAGACTGCAATCACTCCCCATGTCCTCTCCTTCACCCATTTTGAACTGCAGATTGTGTTCCATGATGCTGTGTTTGTCTGGTACAAGACACAAAAAGGATTATATGTGTCTCTGCACCCTGACTCCACTGCAGCAGTGGGAAGAAAGGTGCTCTCTGCCCATTTTGTATGACGGTACAGCCTGCTGCCAACACCTCTCATTGCTTCTGCTGCTGTCTTCTCTAAATGCCTTTAACAACAGTGTTAGCCTTGATCTAATGACACGTAGACACTTTATGAAAAAAAAGTCTGCTCCATTGCCAGATCCAGCTGTGTCGGTGAGCTACAGAAAAGAAATAAACATTGTTGGAAAAAGCACAGTGCTTGACTCTGATCATTTTTAATAGTCATCCTTTCAAAATACCACCTAACTTCTGTTTGTGCCCTCATGGCTCACTCTAACTCTTGACATACATTCATGCACACTTGAGCAGAAAACAGAGAGGCCTTAGCTGCATGTATTCATTTTGGAGCCGAAACATCTTCCTTGAATAACCTCTCATTCCATCCTGACTCATTCAATAATAGGCAGCACTTGCAGCTTGTCTGTGCCTGATCCACTAATCTGAGCTGATATGAGATGCCCTCATCCTCACTGTATTGCTAGCTTCAAGTGAAGATGGCTTTCACCTAATATTTTGTATCTCCTGTCCTGCCCAGGGCTCAGGCTTCATCTGCATCACAAAGACTACTTAGGAAACTGGAACAGCTAAGCTGCCTGGTGGCTCCCCATGAAACTGTGGAGCTCTCCATGTGTGGTACTCGGCTTGGCCCAGTGGCTTTGTTTTCTTTGCTGCAGCCACAGCTCTGTTTCACTTGCTGCTGCAGGTGCTTTTCTTTCTGTGCACTGCAATTCCCAGGCTATGGCTGCTAAAGAAGGCCCTTGGGGATGGATTGTGGCAGTGTAAAGACATGTCCCAGAATTAGTTTGCAAGAATCCATCAGAATTAATGCCAGCAAATGCCTCTCAGGAGACTAAGGCAACTGAAATAGCCTCCAAGAATATTTATCATAAAGTAGCTGAGCTGGATCCATGGGTGAGGCAAAGCAGAGACATTAAAGCCTGTGGGGATAAGCCCTTACAGCCTCATTTTCCATCATCAGGCTCCTTTCTTACAGCCATGTGACCAATGTTGCTGCTGTGAGTGGCTCAGATGCAGAAATCAAGACAGCCAAAGGTATTTTGGATTGCTGATCTTTAAGGAAGTGGTTTCCAGGAGAATGGAACTGCGTCAGCATTCACTGATTCTACCTTCCTTGGCACAATAACCAAGGTATCTCTACATGCTTGGGGCATCTGCCACTTGCTGCCTGAAGCATCATGGTGGGGTACAAGGGCTGTCCTCATGCCTGTGAGACAGCCTGGTGCTCAGGAGGCTTTGATGGCAGCAGCCACATCCCACCCCAGGGCTGGTGTCAGGGCTCACAGGCACAGGTCTGAATACAAACTGGCATTCAGGAGGGGATCCCCATGTGAACTGGAGATGTGCTGAGCTGCCTGCCAGCAGGCAGGGCTAAAGAGATGAAAAGCAGGCAGCAACAAAGGGCCTGACACCATGAGTCAGCAGGGAAGAGAAAATGCAAGTGGTAGCAGAGCAGCAATCAGAAAAGAGCATTTATGGGGTTTATGGGGCATTTTTCAAGGAGCCTGAACTGCTTAACTCCTGCAGTACTGCTGCTGTCTGTAGACACCTTCTTTCTGGAGCACTGCAAAAGTCACATGGCAAGCGACTGTGAATATATTTATACTGCTGCTTGCACTTGGCAGCCTGATCTGGTGGGCAACAGGCAGCCTACAACAGGGGTTGAGGTTGGGGTGGGCTGTGAGGTCCCTTCCAATCCAACCACACTGTGATTCTATGTATGGAAGGAGCTCCAGAAACGTGGTAGAACCTTTTGTTGAAAACTTTTGTTTTGTGGATTTATTTATTTTCCATACTGAAGAGAAATGTCATTTTTGCTATGCTGTTCAGTGTAGATCCAACTAGCTGGAAACAAGTGGTATGATAATAACCACAATTTCATTGGAATGAAAGTAATTGGTGACCAGCTGCTTCTAGAACAGACCAAAAAAAACCAAACCAAAACAAAACCACAAAAAAGACTACAATGAAAAAGCATGAAGCAACCAAGATGCATGCATTCTGCCAGAGTGAACAGGACCAGAGTTCAGCTGCAGCTCTTGCCAGAGCTGAGCTAGACATGGAAATACATTTGCAGCTTACTAAAATCTAATGCAAATTCAAACGTAGATGCTGCGCCTAAGCAAACCTGAAGCATGCATCTATTATGCCTTCATATGGCCCAGATCAACTGTTTGAAGTCATCTTTGAAAGTTTAGGCTTCTGACTTCAGAGTGGGATCAAATTCTGGACAAGAGTGTCCTCATCCCCTCCTGAGAGGGCCGTAAGGGCTGCTTTTTGCAGTCACCATTCAGCACGCAGCTTAATATTCTGGCAGTTGCTTCTCCTCGGGCTTGATGGACTATAAAGAATAGTTGGCCTCCCACAGTGATTCATTTAAACAGACTTCTCAAAGGAGCCTCTCTCTCCCTCTCCATCTCTAAAGAGGAATAAGCATGCTGAGACAGGAAGCAAAATCAAAAGAAGTAGAGAAGAGAGATAGATAGATAGATAGATAGATAGATAGATAGATAGATAGATAGATAGATAGAGATAGGAGGAAAGAAGACCCACAGACACAGAAGAGCTCAAACAAAGCTGCTACTGGGTCCCTGCTCCTTCTCACTCAACCAGCAGCCTGCCTGTGAGCAATTAGGGAGATTTCTTATATATATATATGTATGGGAGTAAATGGAAAAAAAGAGGATGTATGTGTTTTCTGTTTTTTCCTTTGGGCATTTGTCTACGTGACAACAGTACTTTTCCCACAAATAATCCTCTTTTACATCTGTAATATGATTGGAACACTTTTACTCTACTTTAGCTGAACCCTGAGGATCTGCTCCTGCCTGGTGGGTCAGAATGTTCTCTTCCAATTAACCTAATTCTGCATCAGCACAGACAGATCTGTTACCTTGCTCCTAGAGCTACTGATGGACAGGTAAGTCAAAGGTTCTTAACACCACCAAGAAAAACAGAAGCCCTTCCAATTCTTCCAAGTGATGCCAAACCTAGCAAGGAAGCTGCTGGTCCCCCCTAACCCCTTGGTGCTGATAACAGGCTTCCAGCCCAGGAGGAGCACTTGGCTCTTGCTTTACAAAGGCTGCTGAGTTATCTCATGTGCTGAGAAAAGTGCATTTGTGTGCTTGGCCTCATTCACAACAACACCATTGTCTGCAGCCGCTAAGCCCAGGCTGCCCCAGCTAATTAGCATGGAGAAATCAGCATTCTTGTTGCACCCCTGGTGTCACCAGGGAAGAAGGACAGGCTGCCAAGCAGCTTCCCAGAGCTGTGCCTCTGTGCCAGAGGGAGGACTCTTCTCTCTGTTTTGTGCAGGGCTTTGTGGATTTACATCCACAGCAGGACACAGGAACTTCTGCATGCTGAGAGCAATCAGGTCAGGGTGAGCTGCTGCAGCACCTGGGACATGGCAGAGCTGTGCTAAGTCCTTGGCCTGCAGCAAGCAAGGCTATCAGGCAGCCTCTAGCCCTTCTTTTCCTCATCACACAGTACAGCTGACAACCAAGTTATTCAGGCTGCTGGAGCCTGCCCAAACATCTTTCTCTTTTACCTTAGCTGCATTCTGCTTATTTAGGGATAAAGAGATCCCAAAGTTTTGATAAAGCTGCCCATCACCTGCACAGGCTTCTTATTGTCAAGGTCACCAGAAAAGCACATCTGCATGCCCCCTTTCTACTTCCTAGATAAAATAAAAACAGGAAGAAAAGTCTTTTTTCTTATTCTGAAGAGAGAAGCTCCTGGAGCAAGGGTAACATGGAGAGCCCCAAAACTCCTCTGCTAAGTAGGCAGCTTCCTCCTGTGTGCATCTAAATCACAGATATTGTCACAGGTTACCTGTGGCATATCACAAAACTATGAATTTATCTTTACAAACCACTTGCAAGTTCAGGAAATATTGCTTTCCATGCCTTACAAGTGAGAATGGAGCTGGTATCTGCCAGAAATAAGGTGCTGCTTTTTGTTACACAGTAGCTTGAAACTGTTAAATCAAAGAGAATTCTGACAGATTGAGATAATTACTAAGTATACTGAACAGAGCAGCATTTGACTACATATTAATGTGTCTATTGATGTATTTTTCTGTGAGATTATCAGATACTCTCATGATGCTCTCTGCTTCCTCCAGTTTTGTGCCAGTTGAATGCTTATCATGCAGCTGTTAAAACTGGGCCTTTACCTTCCCACTATAGCCCTGGGGTTTAAGTCTTTAACTGACCAGTAGCAATTTAATACTCATGTTAGAAATGTCAATATCACTTTTGGAAATAAAACATTTCTATTCCATTCTGGTGGTAGGAAAGTTCTCCAGGAAGATTCATAGAATCAATAAAGCTTGAAAAGACCTCTAAGATCACAAAGTTCAACCCCAGCCCATCCCCAACATGCCCACTAAACCATGTTCCTCTGTACCACATCACCACAGTTCTTGGAATTCACAGGAGATGGGAATTGCAGGAGCTCCCACTCTTCATACTCACTTTTGGTGCTAGAGGCTTCCACAACCTGTACCTCTGACAGCCAATGCTTTCCACTGGCAGAAGATGCCAAGTATGGAAATAAAAAGTCAGCTGCTCTCTATGGGAACAGCAGGGCTCAAGGATCAGTCAGTTATCTGTTAGGGTGAGAAGGACAGATTGTGCAGAATAGGCTTGAATCCCACCCCTGATAAGATGTTCGTGCATTTGCTGTTTTGTTCTCCATATTGAAGAAGCATTCATTTAGAAGCTGGAGGCACAAAAGAGTTTATTATCTTGAGCTACTGAGGAGCTGGGATGAGAATCCAGCCATTTAATGGGTCAAATGCATCAGTGGAAGCATGTGTCACCATGGTTGCATGAGTGGAAGGTGAGGTGGGTAGCTGTCCTGGAAGCTCCCATAGTATATGGAAAAATAAATGTATATAATTCTATACATAAAGATTTCTAACTTGCTTGGGCTTTGTTCCACTTACCTGGTAAGGTCTGGATCCTTTGGGAGATGGAAAACATAAAATATAGTGATAACATGAAATATACTTCCACTGGAGTACCTCCTTGGACATCTGTTTTCTAGTTCTGGCTTTGGCTGTGCAGACTCAGCTACATTGTCATACTCAGGTCGACTCTGGGCACCAAGCACACTGTATATTTTTAGTACTGGACATTGCAACAGGGCTGATCAATGACATCTGGCACTGG